AGAGGCTGTAAGTGTGAAGGCCCCTGGCATGTTACCGTAAATACCAGGGTTATTGGGACTTTACCGTAAATATAAGAGCTGCCTGGCACTGGGCATTTTGCCTGTTTACTGTGTTGCCATTTCTTGCACAAAGCAGATCATACACTCTATAGGGCTCAGGTCCCATTTCAGCAGTTTGGATTGTTTAGTGACAGCGTATCATAAAAGGGAAATAAGACAGACCCCCCCCCCACTTCGACACGGAGCTCTGCAGGTCTGCGGGAGCCTTGCCTTTTGGTTGAATCTGTGGTTTATTTTTGACGTCTGTCTTCTCCAGCTCAAAGACTGTATTTGATGGGCTTATGTTGCGATGCCAGGGGGTTCCTCGCTTCAGCTCTTCCCTGCGTGGGAATCCCGTGATGATGTATTCAGCCACAGGCCCTGCCGGCCAGGCTGCCCTCCCTCTCTCGCTTGGCTGCACAGAACCTGGTTACAGACTCAGAAAATCGGCAGGCATCACGCCGGATTAATTACGTTCATTTCTGCAATGGGTCGGCTTCAGTCCTGAAGCTGTGGAATGACTGATCAGTCATTATTCCTTACTGATTATTAAATCTGAGCGGGTTAGTTCACCCTGAGACACTTAGCTTCACATCAACATTCACAGTGTCCCTTTCATACTTTATATGTTACTGAAAAAAATACTGCAGCCCCCCCCCCTTCCCAGCTGAATAACCAAAAATATAGGCGCAAGTCCTGGCCTTGAGCCATTGTGCTAAAATACTCATTTATTCCAACAGCCACCAACAAAAGCAAAGCAATGGAGCCAAAATGGTGCTCAAAGAGATTAAAATATGAGAAACTCTTCAATTTCCTTCTATCCAGCTGAGAGTAACAGTGGCTAAATATATTGCTAAATGAATGTTGTATCTAAAGCCTCAGTTCTCCACTAACTGTAATCATGACTATGGTCCCAGTGTAGCTGCATTGTACCAATCAATTTAGACAGGCACGTTCCTACCCAATATTTTGTAAATATGTAATATTTAAATTAATTATTCAGTCAACCAATAACATGCCTACATTGATTGTGAATAATACATCATGAAACTTGCAGTCAGAGTAATCTGGCCAATGAGTGAGCTTCCTCCGTCAGATCGCATCTCTTAATCCCCTCCCCCAACCCGTATCATTCCCGTTTTCCACCAATAACTCTAACACACTCAAACACATCATCCAATGAGTTCATTCATGACTCACATCTCAGCGGCTGTGAAGAAGGTTAGCTGGACATGTTAGAATGTTATGATAGTTACATAAAGTTTGAAGAACATTAATATCTTTGTATTTTTTATGTCTTGTGTGTGGTTTTCAAATGATGCCTACCCACAAATGTGGTTTGCACACGGAACTGTGTTTGCATATTCTGAGTCTGACCGACCGAAGCCGCCTCGTTTCACAGGAGGACCCTGACTTTGTTTTTGGCATAATTAAGGACATGAACCCTCAGAGCATTTATGTTTTGCATATTGTGAAGTATGATTCAGCTTAACCTTCACGTCCTGTAAAGTCCAAGGCTGCTAACAGACACTCTTTGCCCTACCGGAGTGGTCATCTTCAACTGGGGATCCAGGCCTGCATCGGCACTGACCTCCAGGAGGCCTAGGGAACCCCAAGCGGTGGTCACTGCCCACCCACTTATCGCATTTCAGTGCAGCAGATTATCTGTGGGACTGTGTAGTTTGGCTATTGACACTACATTTTTTTTACCTCCCTCAAGCTGAAATAAACAGTTTTCTAATGGGGGAATAACCCATGAATCCCAAGAGGCAGGTCAACCCCATGGCCTGATGGAGCAAAACAGCCCCTTGTATTGGACTATCAGCCATCAAAGTAGAGCGTTGGTGTCTTACAGCAACCAAAGCCTGACTGAGATGTCGTCTCCTTCAAAAGACACTCTCTAGTTCCTGCTTTGTTTCCCGTACAACGGTGTGGATTCTCAGAAGATCCCCACGTGGGCTGAGAAACATTTGACATTTTTTCTAGTATAAAATATGCTTACACCCTGACTGAGGCATTTCGTCTGAAGTAGTTCTTCGTTGTTCTTGGCAAGTTTGCACTTCAGAGAGGTTGCATGTTCACGTCCTGCAGTTTGGTCCTGTATATCTGGGGGGCCAGTTTAGAATGCCAAGTTATGCATTAAATTTCAGTGGGGAGTGTGTGTGTGTGTGGGGGGGGGGGGGGGGGGGGGGGGGGGGTCTGTGTGTGGCGTTCTCCCCTCCCTTAAGCATCGATTGTTTTTTGACCCTAGAAACACCATCGAGCCCAGGCGATATTCACTCCAGTGCCAAAGGGACCGACTACGTGTTCTGAGAGCATTTCAGCTGACCCTCTTATCTGTTTGGACAACTCAGAGCCTGGAAGCCAAAGCTGTTGTTTCTGGATCATTAGCCTATCATGAGACATCTTAGAGACTGAACTTTGCAAACCATGCTATAAAAGATTAACAGTGGGAAGTCAAATGAAATGGCAGCGATTTTCTTTTTCCCTTTGGTGAACAGATGAGATTTGGGTGAGACTTGAGCAAAACTGATGTGATTTTCTTTCAATAAAGCTGAACAGTTAGATTGTTATGCCTCATTTATTCGTATATCTGCGACTGAGACCGCCTCTGATTAACGTGTGACACTCTGTCAGCTGACTTTAACAGGCTGGGTGAGTACGTGAGTTCGATGGCTTCGGCGTTTCATAGACGCTGTGTGCTATTTATGGATATTATGTACAAATTATTACAAATTACAAGTGCTTCTCATTAATTTGTATTTTATTGTTTTACATTTGTGCAGATTTTATTATTATAGGCAAATTGTGTGAGGAAAGAGTATCTCTTGGCAAACTGCCTTTAACCGTTTAACGCTTTAAACTCCCGGGTGAGCTATGAATCATTAATTACTTTGCCAAGACAAGTCCGGAATTATGTGTTAATAAGGAAAAACGGAGAAAATCTCCCGGTTCTATTACAGCTAGATTAACGCGCCCCGACATACGGTCACAGCTGTAATGCCCGCGTATTGCCAGCAGAGGGAGGCTCAGATGTATCTAAACCGTAGATAAACACGCGGTTGATATTAGTCAGGTTGGAAATAATAAAATGACATCAGCTACTCATTGGGTTCGGTGCATGTCACAGCATATCTTTCGGAGAAAAGTACAACCTCCGACGAAACGCTGATTCATAACGAAAATTAGAAAACGTGATTACAAAAACACACACACACACACACACACACCAGCAAGCCCAAACTTGGTCACGACTTTTTTGAGGAACCAGTTAGATGCACATGCAATTATATATGAGTACGCAGTAGCCTCATCACTTCAGATAATCTATGACTTATTGTGGCTTCCCTGTGAACTCATCCGCCTGAGGCAGCTGCCCGCGCTTTTAAAAATGTGTATATTTGAATTTGCCCTCTAGTCGTCGGTTCATGCAATTTGTTTGGCGTTTTTCCGGTAATATATTGTGCCTTCATGGGCTGAGATCTCTTAAAAGCTAACCGTCCGTCGGCTGGACCCCACTGTCCTCCCGGTAGGCTCCCTCTGTATTGGAAAGGCGCAGGGTTGCGGGGGGCTCCGTGATCATTAGCGCACCCACCCATGAAAACTTGGGTCCGGTCAGGGGCGCCATGCCCATGCACGGTACACAGAAAACACCCTGCAGCGACCCGGTGTCGTACCCCACTTGTAATAAACCGGCGTACAGGAACAAATGGACCGATTTTAATTAAAAAAAACAAAAAAAAAGACGTTAGTTAAAGCTGGCACCTATGCGTGACACACGAGTGGAGGAGCGCCGAGCCTCTGCGAAAGCGACCCAATAAAGGGTGTCTGTTCTGGCAGCCCTGTGCCCTGCAGCATCAGCCTCTCTGGAGCCGCTGCAATTGGTTTCTCAATAAGATAATGATATTCCTTTGGGGGGCTACTCAAGAGCTCTCGATACAAAGCCACAATGATTAAAAATGATTTATTTCATCTTGGGGGAATATGAGGTGACTCATCAAAACGGCCGAACCATTATAATAGAAAACAGCAAGCAATTTGGGAACATTAATGGGAAATGGGTAAATAAAAATAAATGATCTGGCGAAAGGTGGGGGTGGCACCCAGCCAGATGTTCCTACTGTCAGTCTCCTCGTGTAGATTAGGGTTACTGCAGTGGGGCCCTTTCCAGCTAAATTGGAGATACTGGCCGAAGACAAGCGCTAGGTGGTTTCCAGAAAAGCCCGAGTGAGATCTGGAAGGTTTAAGTAGGTGTCAACAACATAATGTTCATTTGTGGCGCGATGAATGTATTCACTTCTAAATGGAGACTACTTAACGAATGTCAGGATTGTATATACATACACTCACGCATATGTGTGTGTATACACACACACACACACACACACACATATATATATATATATATATATATATATATACATATATATATATATTTATACATACATATAGCGACATAGACAATATTTTGGTTTGAAAGTGGAAGACGTGACTCCACACTCGTCGGATTGGCCAGTAAATTCTAAGCCTACATCATTATTTTATAGACTGATTAGCCACATTTCAGTTGCTAGCCAGCATTTCTTAAGTGTTGTATGAATTATTGTAATGCACTTACAATTCCATTACAGCTCTCTATTGAGAAGCCTGCCTGATGTTACCCATTGCCAAGGTTACACGCAATAATGTTGCAAGATATTTCGATAAAATTCAGAAGCCACAATATAAGATTCCTAATCTTGCAGAATTTTCTCATTAATTTCAGCACCAAGCAGCAAAACACCTGAGAATCTGTGTTTAATTAAGCTAATTGTTTAAAGGCTTCTGAAAACTTGTCAGGCCAACTTAATTAAGTGATGGAAAAGGCGCTCATAAAAGAGGTGCTTATGAATGATTTCCTTTTCACGTCAAAGGTACGTGGAAGTTCCGAGTGGGCTTCATAATCGCCACATCCTCCATTATTTTGTTAGTGCACGACACAGGTTTCAGCTGTGGAGAAGAACGAGGCAATGACAGTGTGTCTTCACACGTAACACTGAGACTTAATGCTTAAGTGTCATATGCATTTTTTATCATTTCTCTTTGTCTTCGTTCCCCTTATTCTAAAAAGCCCAGGTGTTATTAGATGTCTATTCCCGAAACGAGGTGCTGGTACGTTGGAATTCTTTCTTTGGCTATTCGCCGCTTAAATGACTGAAACGGCCATTTTCCGCTGGCGAATCGGCGCGCTCTGCTAATTTCTTCCATATTTGCAGAGGGCTGGCAGACGGGAAGACAGGGCGCCGCCGCGTGAGCTGTTCCATGCCCGAGCGGAGATTACACAAAACAACACAGGAATGCAGTTACCGTGATTTGGAGCAGCGTCCGTGCCCCTGAACGCGGTAAATGCGTGTAAATTTGTATGAGGCAGACGTCGGCTGTCAGCGATGTCATTTCTTTTCCCGAATATGAAAGCCTGCCTGATCGTATCACTCAGTCTTAGCTGTCATTGGGATATACAGGCTGTCTCTCGAACGAAGGAGCCGCAGAGCATGAGCACAAGGTTAAAAAACATTTTAATTTAATATCAAACAAGAAATAGATGATTCTTCAATATTATCTATAAAACTGTACAACATTGTTCCTTTCAAAGGATTTCAAGACTACATATGATCTGATAACTCGTGATTCTATTTATGTTCATGTTTAAGCTGCATTTCCATAAATACAAACATGTACTCAATTGACATTTTTATCAGTATGACTGGATGAGTATGAAAAATATTAAGTGCTGACAATGGATCAGTGGCTGCCTCATGCTGGTGTACAAGACTAAGCCGAATTTACCTCTAACTGTGTCACCTGTGTGACAGGAAATAAGCAGGAAACCAAAGTCAGTGTCCTGTAAATACTATCAGTACCATCCCTGTCGGCTAGGCGGTCTCTGTCGCAGAAACAGGATATACTTTGCCAGATGCTTCAAATTAATCAATCACATGGTGCCGTTGAGATCTACCGATTTCTGTGACGTGTGTGGAGCAGAGACGCCCACCCATGGGTCACAAGGCTGAGCTCCATTACTTTACACCTACAAACCCATGTAAAAGTGCAAATAATAAGTTTTGTATACTACGATTCTGACAGGCTTAAACAAAAAAAGTAGCTATATAAAGTAAAAGTCAATACGCTGGCCGCCACATAACCAAATGTCAGTCATTAATCCTCCAGGTCGCACAAAATCCATAAAGTCTAAATGTGTAGCTTTTGTAAGCAGACAGGTATCTGCAACACGAAGGCAGCCACTGCAGCTCCCCTGCCGAGTGAGTGAAGGTACAGCCCTCAGCGGCAGACCTGTATTTCTTGACAAGTAGGTAACTGGTATATGAAAAACAGCACAGATCAGAGCTTGTGGAACACCAGCTTGCTTTGGCTGTACCCATCTTCTACATTTTGTATTTATATCATGCACAAAAAAACATGAAGACCATCTTAAAGGGACATCCCAGAGGGATGATGTCCCAGAGGGATGATGTCCCAGAGGGATGATGTCCCAGAGGGACAACAGAGGCGCTCTAGAATCCAAACGTTCCGTGGCACCCCTCGGATGTGAGTCTGCTTCATGAAAAGTGGTACATGCTGTAGCCGATGGGAGTGGTGTATAGTCCGACTGGCGAGACGGGCAGCATGGGTCGGTGGAAAGGGTATGACTGTCCGTAGAGGGAGGCGGCCGTCTGGAGCGGAGCGTTCAGGTGGAAGGGTAACGTGAAGCTGGGGTGCAGCACAGGTTTGGCTGCCATCTTCAGCTTCTCCAGCTCTGCCTCCTGCAATCTTTTGGCTTTTGCTCGCCGGTTCTGAAACCAGATCTTCACCTGGGTCTCGGTCAGGTTGAGGGAGCTGGAGAACTCAGCCCGCTCAGCGATGGAGAGGTACTGCTTCTGCCTGAACTTGCGTTCGAGGGCCAACAGCTGTGAGGTAGTGAAGGGGGTCCGTGGCTTGCGGTTGGTCTTGTGCTTCCTCAGGGGACAGGTGCTGGGACTCAGCTGGCCTGCTAGTGGGCAGAGGAGAGGTACGAGTCAGGGCCGGCCGTGTCGCCAGAGGAGGCTTCAGAACTAAAGTCAGCTTTGTGAAAGGCCCCTCAGAAGGGCGTCACATCATCAACAAAAATAAACAGAGCTATGATTGTTACCAAGTACGTTTACTGCTCCAAGCTGTTACATACAAATATTATCTCCGGAGAGACAGTTAATCTAGAACTGCCATTTCAAACCACACCCTTCCAACTCCCAAGATCAAGTCAATTTGTCAAGATTAGCGCCCATTATGCTCATTACGTAGGTTCCAGAGTATTGTGTGTGTTTGCAACGTCTGCACACACACATGCCACAAAAGAGTTCAATGTTTTAAATAGAATTTTTTAAAGACGCAAACTCCATGCTAGGTAACACTGATTTTTACAACCCCCGTAATATTTATTACGAGTCCCAGTAGGGTACTCAAACGTCAACAGCCTAAAGCGGTTAATAAACTAGTGCTGTAAAACAATTTTGAGTATATCGGAAAATGCTGCAAAGTATTATTTAATTCTATAAAAGTCAATTATAAAGTCGATTACTGAAAGTGGCGGCCTCCATCCATGACTGTGCTGAGGTCAAAGAGAATCGTGCAAAATGGAAAAGGCAAAAATGTTCACTAGATAAAAAAAGATCTTCACGCTAAAAAATAATCCGACAAATGTGCGTGAATTAAAACACAATATATTGTCATTTAAACAATATATTAATAAACTATTGGTAATGGTTCCTAAGTCTAAATAACAGTTTGAAAGTGTTATTGAATGAACGTCGCGATAGTAACCGCACAGAAATAAACGGAAATGTGCCACTAATGAGAGACATAATCACAGTCAAATTATGAGTCAAAGTTTAAACGAATATAGTTAAACTCATGCAAACAAATTCTATGGAAACTGAACGAAAACTTCGGTTTCTAACAATTGTTCGGCTACCTGAAAAGGAACAGAAAACAATGTTTCTATACTTCTCCAAACATAATAGAGCAATCTGCACTTTGCAACTTTGCATAGTCCTGTATGTCTTTTCGTGGAATATAAATGAAATTAACTTAAATACAACTAAATAAACATAACTACTTGGCTGCAAACTAAGGAATGGAGTGACAACACACAACAGCGGCCCGGTGTCCGAGAATGCGCACGCACTTACGGGGTGGCGGAGAAAAGCCCGAGTTTGTCACCCAAGGTGCACAGTCTTCATGCTCTGATGCCTCCGATTTCACGGGTGACGTCGGGACAAAGTGCTTGGAAAATCCCTCCGGACTGTACGAATCTCTGGACATCGGCAGCGAGCCCTGGCTTCTGGGGATGCCTAACAACGCGCCGTCGCTTTTCTCCGCAAACTCACTCTGAGCCTTTCGGTCCGACATTAACGCCTCCACGCTGAATGGCAGACTTGACACTTGGACTTTTCTTTCCTTTGCAGTCGACTGTGTTCGAATATCCTCGTCAGATGAGGCACTGTCTTTGGATCCCAGTGGAGAAGACATGCTTGTAAAGTTCTTCCCAGTGCCTAAGTCTATTAGAAGAAATGTCCGCGCGTCCCTGCGAATAAGCGACGCGGCTCTTTCGGATGCAAAAACAGGGAGGTTTAAATTTGACAGTCAAGTAAGAAACCAGGAAAGAACTTTATGGAGGTAGTTAAACTTTCAGCCAATCAGAGCGCTGCCAGGACACATTCAGCGCTTTTGATTGGCCTTGAGTTTCAAGGATCACGAGAGGTTTTGAAAAATAAATTTAGAATTAATCGCATGGAGCCCTTACTGAGATGGGTTACCGATACCTCCAGGGCTGTAATCCCATGTAAACACAATGGTCCATTCGGATAATTTACAGGCAATTACGTGAAGAGGAAACTCAGATTAACTACTTTTCTTTCTGTTTGTTTGAAGCTTCACGTTTTAACTTAAAGGATTATGGAGCCTTGTTAAAATGCCACATTTTGTGATGTCTTGCGAAAATTAAACGTGGGAAAGCCTGGATAAATGTGTAGATAATTTTTTTCTAAATGTATATATAATGCATAAATCATATTTAAGACTATATACACAACAATGTTTATGACTGCAGTATGATCCCGTCAAATGAACAATATACAGTTAAACCTATGTAGTAGAAATTAAGGCGAAATTTGTGTTTCTTCGTTAGTTTCCGTCATTATGACGGTCAGATTAATTATCTTGTCATTCTTCGTCGCCTCTAATAATTAAAACATGTATAACACTCCTGATGAAGACCGACAAGTACGATATGCCATGCGAAATAAACTTACAAATAAATTTGGCTTAAAAATCCTTTGGTGTTAAATGTAAAACATGTATTATAAGTATGAAAACAAATCATTTTAATGTTATAAAACAAAAACCTACCTACACATCTACAATGTGAATACACAATTCAACGATGTTCATTTTGCCTGCTTTATTATTATTATTATTATTATTATTATTATTATTATTATTATTATTATTATTATTATTGTGGTCATTTCTTGGGAGTAGTTTGCCGTGTAAGTCCTTAGTGTCGTAGGCTTTTTGTCACGTTCATTGCTGTTGTATTATCTTCTGTCAAGGGTGAAATACAAAAAATATGTTTAAACAGCACATTTTTCCTTGGGTTTTCTTAAAAAAAACATTACATGATTATAATTCTATAATTTTATCATTTATTAGGAGAGCCAGGTTTTTCAACTTTAACTTTTACTGGCATCGAAGCATGTGTACGCATGTGTTTGTGACATCGACTGACAAACGAGAACATTCGCACTTCTCTCCATCTTGCAACTGCTCGTGTTGGTCAGTTTCACGGGACAAACAATCTTTAATTTTATCAATATCCTGTAATCCATGCTACACGAAAGTATTTCTTTTAAAAAAAAAAAAAATACAATCTCATTTTACAATAGTAACGGTTACCTAACTATGGCAGCTGGTATTTTTATTATTAGTAATAGTAGTTGTTATATTATTGAACAAATTTATTATTGAATTAATATAGCCTACCGTATGCTATATTCACTATGCACACGCCGGCAGTGTGAAGAAACTGTCACGTAATTTATGTTGTTTTAACTGAGGCCTATGCACACAGGAAAACTGAAAGGTCTGTGCCGTGGTTTTAATCAGTCTCACACACACACGCACACACACACATATATATATATAATAACGATTTGGTTGCTTCTGATAATATATGAACATGTACGTGCATATAAGGGCATTACTGTATTTTTCTTCATACAGATACACACATGCACCCACCAGATCCTAAATGCTTCATTTGCGGCTTTGCGATGCATCTGCAACGCCGACGGACTCCGCAATAAGCCGACGCGCGGCTCCTCCGGCGACAGCCGCGCTTTCTGCGAGCCGCCTTCCCATGCGCCTCCGCGATCATTCAGCCGACTGATTTCTCAGACAATCTGGGGCTGTCTCAGGCGCCAGCGGCGGGGAGATGAAAGCGGCTCTCCTCGGGGAAGTAACTGCCTTAGCTTTGCGGCTCCACTCATAAGGTCCCCGTCATATGTCACGCCCAAGCCCAGGGGCACCGTGCCGGGCTCAGTCCGCACTCTCCGCAGACTGCCCAGGCTAGATGGAGAGATAAATGCGATTTATTATGGGAGACAGAGGGCTGCCCTCACTTTATGAGTGCTGCTACGATAAATACCAGGACTTGCCCCTGTTCTGTACAAGCTAACAAGCTCGATGTTGACTTGATGTCCAGATCAGGGCCCCAGCTGGAAACTAAGAGGACCTAGTTTCTTACCTCCTGTTAATCGTGTTTTTTTTTTTTTTTTTTTTCCTGGGCTTGTTCAGCTGAAGTTAGCAATTAGCAAATGATTGAACAAATCTAGCTGTACAGCTTTTGCGTTTGTTGGTGTGTTTGGACACACTTCAGGCATAATAATTATAATCTGTGCTTTGAAGTGGTGGAATGCCGATGGACCGACGCAACTGTTAGTGTCATCTCTAGAGTTCATGGTGCATTTACTGCTAATAGTCATAGAGGATGGACAGTGGGTACACAAGCCACTCAGCCTGCAGATCTCCATGAGAACAGAGATTAGCCAGTGACATGACTTATGTTTCATGTGGGTGTAAAACGTGACCAGAACTTGTTTAGTCAGTGGGCCTTTGGTGGATCTCGTCCTGAATCTGGGATGCTTCACAGCAGACCTGAGGAGCCGTTTCTCAGTCTCCATGCCAGTTTAGTGCTTCAGTGCTTTTGTATTCCTGTTTTAATTATGGCTTAAATTAAGCACAACAACTCTGTATAACTCAAGCTGAAGGAGCTACAATGTATCCTAATAAATGATAAAATCTCAAAGCACAATGGCTAAGGTGAGTAACTATGGTAACCCTACTGCACATGGATACGTATCAGGCACTGATTCGGCCCCATAAAGTCAGATTGTTGGATGGAACTTCAATAAGATTTTAGCTGGAGTCCCAGGGGGCTTTTCAAAGCGTTTGGCTCATGATCGTCCAAAAAAGTAGCTTGTTAGCTTTCTTGGCAGCAGCAAGTGCCTGCATATCCAAATCAATTAAGATTAATTTTAATCGAGTGTTTGGTATTTAAACATTCAGTTATGAGGTTGGCATAGAGGCACAATAAGAGAGCATGTGCTGCGGTCTGTGGCCAATCCGGGGGCTCCGTTTGAAATCAGACCAAGCAGCACGTCACCACAACGTATCACCGTGTCACATCATCGCTATGGAATCGGAACTGCTGGGCCCAAGTTTGTTTGTCATTGACCGTTGGCTTTTGCTTAAGTAACGTGATGCACGTGTTCAGTAAGTCAGTAAGCATTTCATATTATTTACATATAATATTAACATTGCTATCATTTTTGATGGACTGGCCAACCATTTCCAAAAACCGAAAATAAAATTTGTGAAAGTAGGATGTAAAGTTTATTTAGATATGAGTCGCAGGTGGCCGGCGATAGACCTGGGATAGACCTCAGGCCTCCACTGACGCAGGGATGGATAAGCGTCTACGGAAGATGGATGGTTAGATAAAGCAATCTGCTCACATGTTCACTGCGGCTTTTATTTGACTCGTTCGGCTTCATCGGTTGTTCAGACTTGTCACCATTCGCTCCCGATATCTAACGTAGAAGATGACAGGTTCGTTCATGTCCACCACGACTCTGCTGGGAAACAATCAATATGGAGGATGAACTCAAGAGACATTCCGACTAACAATAATAATAACAGCGATAGCAACAATAATAATCATCAGCCCTGCCAAATTGTATTATTAAGGCTGCGTGCATGCGTTAACCTACAGCCTCTCTGTGAGAGATTAAAGGTTTTAGGCAAGCTTGAAAATGGCAGTCATTATATCGTTATTATTAACACCTTGTAATTAGACCTCTGGAATCCTGCACTTTTAACTGAGATTTGGCTGTAATGAGGGAAAATTGCTACCTTCCTGAGGTGGATGGCGCCCCACTCCGATTAGCTGTAAGCAGGAGTCTATTATTTCAAAGGCGAAGAGTCTCCTGTCATGTGAACTATTTAGGTTCAACACGGAGAACTGAATACCTGAGAAACTGTCACTCACCGGGTTTGAAACAAATTCATTTTTTTTTTGACAGTAGAGCAGTAATAGATAATGAGGCTTTAGAAGAAGTGACTGTATGACAAAAGGGGAACGGAGCAAATTCTATCAGGAATGTGGTTTGAATTTTGTCTGACTTTTAGTAGTTTAGAAGAAGACATTCGGGAGCCGGAGAAACCAGTCAGTCGCACGACGTTAGCGCTTGAATGGAAGCTGAGGCTCGCTCGCTTTATTGGAGAGTCGCTCACTGGATACTCTACCAGCCATAAGTCAGAATCTGTGTTTTTTTTTCTCTCTTCTTTTCAAGCCGTGCAAACTCCCCATCCTGCAGCCCCAGAGGACGGGAAGTTCCCCCTCCCCGCACGCCGCTCCCCCGCCGGCGCTGCGTCCTTGTCGTCATCGTGGGGGCCGTTGTCATCCACAGTCGCCCTGGCAGATGTGAGCCCAAAGGCGCTGGGTGCTCTTCCTTGCCCTTGACAAAAGCACCATTTAAGTGCCTCCGCGGAGTCTGAGCCCTGGCACTCTTATTACAGCCCAGCGGACGCCCGCTGCTCTGTAATCACGGCGGCATTGAAGCCACCGGCGGGGCCGCGGCCCGGGGACCCATCAGGCCGCATGAATCACCATGTTCGCCATTGGCGTTTGCGTGTAAATGCCTGCGAGTGAGCAAACGGCTTCTGCGCGCCTGCTTGCCTGTGACAGACGGAGCTGGGGTTCCTCTGCGTGCACAGTGGACATAAAATGTAAAAAATGAAGAGGAACTCGTTGATTTATGGGAAATTAGCACAATTTAATTACTGAACTCCAGGCAAGTAGCAGTTAAAATGCAATTAAGAGGACAAATCAAAATGAGCTGACTAACATGGAGTGGCTTTCTGCCCTCCGTCTGGTTAAGGGAGAGACAGGAAACATGGCTGAAAACATCTTAGAAATTCCTTTACTGCAGTAGTCAAGACATAAAACACACGGCGTTTTTATGGCATACTTCAGATGTTTGCTTCCCAGGTCAGAATCCCTGTGCAGAAGTCACACAAATTTAGCCTGCTTGACACATTGCCAAAGGTGTACTTTGAAAGCCATTGTCACTGGGGAGCTTTCATTAAATTCAGCCAATAAGAAGGCTTACATGTTTAATGATAATTTCATCATTCGCACTGTGCGTGAAATAAGGGGTCCCCATTGGCCAGCTGTCTGCGTCCGTTTGTGAGTTAATGGTGGTGTTTAAACTGCATTCCGGATCAAAAAAACGACACTCGTGGAGACTGAAGGAAAGTAAAGAGCAGAGCAGTGTCACCCGACACCCCGACGTGGAGCAGCTCCTCATTAATGCGATCCTTCCTGGCCTTGGTCATCACAGACGTGTGTGCCTCTGACCTGCCACTGTTTAACGAGGGGGAGACGCCAGGCATACGGGGCCCCCACCAGCTCAGAGACGCCCCTCCAGCACAGACAGCCTCATGGAGAGACGAGTGCCTGGCTTGCCCCTTTCGGGTCCCCGGGGGGGCACCTTTGAAACGGGACACTGGTGCTGTGCAGCCAATTGATTATCTGCCTGCCAATTACCACCAGTCTGCTACTAGGGGGGAAATAAGGAAAGGGGAGGAGAGATGGACCCCTGGACAGGACGATGGGGGTTTGGCTGCACCGTAGGGAGGAGCGGCAGGAAATTCTGAACATCGGGCTCGTGTGAATCAAAGCAAACGGGCCAGTCTGTGGCTTGGAAGTCTGGAGCCTTTGGGGACCAAACTCACGTCTGGACCCTCCACTGTTGTTGCAACACAGAGGGAAAAATATATATGAATATGCAGCCAGGAACGTCTTAAAATATAACGGGCTGAGAGCTCGGCCCAGGG